TCATGGTTCAAAGCCAGCCCAGGCAGGAAAAGTCCGTGAGACTCTTATCTCCAAAAAAACACTCAGAAAACCAGAAGTGGTGCTGTAGCTCAAGTGGTAGAGAGCTGGCCTTGAGCTGAACTGCTCAGGGACAGTGCCCAGGCCCAGAGTTCAAACCCCATGACCACCACCACCAACAACAACAACAAAAAGATTAACAAAGAAAACAAAGAATTAAACAAATAAGGAAACAATTAAGTTTCATTTCTACAGTGCCTTGAATGTAATGATAAAACTTTGCAAGCTTTTGCTAAGCATTATTACATGCTGTGTTTCTTAAGGTTATATTTACCAGGGTATCTTCTTTTCAAATAAGCATCTCACAAGTTTTTTCTGCATAAGACCCTGGTAAAAATACTGTGTTATATAATCTTGGCTCATGTGTTATTAACTTTTTCAAAAGCTTAAGTGTAGAATGAAGGAAGGGGTGATGTTGACCAAGAAACACTGTATTAATCACCTGACTTATGGATTTATAATCCCTTTGCACCTACTACTACTACTACTACTACTACTACTACTTCATCATCATCATCATCATTGTCATCAAAAAAATCTTCAGTGTAATTCTTACCTACTATTCCATTTGGTTATACTAAAATTTATGTTTCCATACCCTAGTTCTTCTGCTTAACCAGCAGTTCTGGAATGAAATCTTATGACTTTGTGACTATCTGGAAAATCTCTGATTATTCCCTTTAGAGGTGGAATTATTGAATCCAAAATTATGAACAGTTTTAACACTAAAGATATACTGTCTAGTTGCTTTCCAGAAAGATCATGCTTATATATGTCCTTCTGCCACTTGCTGGTTATATGGGCAGACCTAGCATCTGCTACCTCTTGGATATTGAGTGTCTCCTGAAAGCCCACATGTTAAAGGATTGGGCCTTGAGATGTGGCCCTTATGTCACTAGGGGCATGCCCTTGAAGAGTATATGGCACTCTGGTCCCTTCTTATTCCTCTCTTTTGTTCTCTGGTCTCTGATAAGGTAAAAGGCTCCTGTCCACCCCACAGTCCCACCATTATGTGTTGCCTTATCACAGGCCCAAAGTCACAGAGCCAGTGGTCAGAGACTGGGACCTCCAAGATTGAACCTTCTTTGCAAGATGATCATCTCAGGAATTTTGTAATAATAATGGAAAGCTGACAAATAAAGCACTTATCAGTGAAAACTGAGGAGTCCAAGAAATTCCAAGTGTTGGAAAGCTATTCCATTCTCTTTCACCATGAATATAACCAGCAATGAAACACCAAATAGTGACATACGCAAAGATCAAGAACGACCATTTCTTCTGAAGAGACAGATTGTCTTTTTACAATACTCTGGACTGTTTTTAAGTCATTAAATGATACTTGAAAGTTATCTAACCACTCAAATTTGAAAATATTTCATTGGATAGTTAAAGAAGGTATTTTGAAATGGTAGCTGTTATGCTGATTTTTAAGTAACCTTTCAAGGTGAAATAGAAAAGTAAAGCTTCACCACTCCTGTGGCTATGAACTTCTATCTGGAAGACTTTTTTTGTGTGTGAGCATTCAGTCCATCAATCTTGATTCTGACCTCAGGGAAATTGAATTTTGTTATGTTGGTCAGAGGCTGACTCTGGTGCAATTTGTTTTATATTTGTATGAGAAAAGTATATATATTGGAGAGAGAGAGATTGCAGGCTGGAAGTGATTTACCTTTTTGTCCTCTATAAATATTAGTATTGGTCAATGCATTATTGAGTCTGGAATTTAGGTATGAACTTTCAACTCATTAAAAGCTCCACATCTCCAGAAATAAAGTCCTCTAAATGGTTTCACCAACAGATTTATTTCAAAGTGATTCCATTTGGAGGAAGGAAGAATGGGTAATGCATCATGAACGGAGATATTTTCAATAATTCATGAGACCTGCACATCACTAGCCATTTGAGATGCAGTATATGGCATCAGAGCCTGAAAGGAACTCTGAGCAGAGCGACATCCGCAGTTTGCCTCTCTGGTGTTTGAGTCACTAGTGTCTTGGTTTTAAAGAAATAAAGTCTATACCAACTCTCTTCCTTACATGGAAGCTATTTTTAAAAGAATTGGCATTTTGTATCATTGGGTTGAAAGGATACTTTATATACACTCCCTACCCTTAGCAAAGCAGCAGTGTTTCAAAGCATATTGCTTTTTCCCTTTTGGGCAGGCATTCAGATTGTTTTTGATGTGTGAGGAATGGATTGCCAAAGGCTGGACTACACATGAATTTATGGAAGGTTAGTGATTATGACAAGCACAGGGGTGGGCCAGTCAGTGAACATGGAAAGGCACACATGGCAAATGGGCATCATCCTCCCATGAGATAATTGAGTGACATTTCTTGGGCAGAGGAGAGTGGCATAGCCAAGACCTGTCAGCATCCTGGCCGCTGCCTGGTTCAGCTGTGAGCTTCTTGGTCCAGTCTGAGCTTAGCAGATTCTTTCCTTTCTCTGAAGACCACAGAGGTTCCAGGGTGATTTTTCTTCATGGGAAAGACTTGCATGAATATCCTGGGGATTGCCTGCTTCCTTCCCTCTATTGTGAGTTTCTTAGTTGACCATAGGCCTAAAATTTCCAAGTTGGTCACTTCCATTTGGCAAGTATTTAATCAATGAGATGTATCCAGTAAATAAATAAATAAAATGAATGAATATGATTCTGTTGTTTGTTAGAAAAGCTTCGGGATCTATATCCTTCCTCTTTTAAACCTCCCACACATCCCAATTGTTTTTAAGGCTGCTTTTGAACTTTAACTTAAAATATGTAAAAATTTATACTATACAGTTTTATAAAGAATGTATTTCAATTATTCATCCTACCATTAACATTTTGTCATGTGATTCTCACAGAGAGACAGACTACTATACATGTTTTATACATATGCTGCCTTGAGACTACTTTTTCATTTAATGGGAGGTCCAGTATCTTTTTTTTTTTTTTTATCAGCTGTGGGGCTTGAACTCAGGGACTGGGCATTGTCCCTAAACTCTTTTGCTCTACCACTTTGAGCTACAGTTTTTGAGTGGTTAACTGGAGATAAGAGTCTCATGATGACTTCTTTCCAGGCTGGCTTTGAACTATGATTCTCAGCTCTCATCTGCCTGAGTAGCTAGCATTATAAGACATGAGCTACTGGTGCATGACTTCAGTATTTTTTTGTTGTTATTTTGTGGCCATACTGGGGCTAGAACTCAGGGCCTCATGCTCTCACTTGACTTTTTGCTCAAGGCTAGCACTCTACCACTTGAGCCACACCTCCTCTTCTGGCTTTTTGCTGGTTAATTGGAGATAGGAGTCTCAAAAACTTTTCTTTCCAGGTTGGCTTGGAACTATAGCCCTCAAATCTCAGTCTCCAAGTAGCTAGGATTATACATGTGAGCCACTAGAACCCAGCTAATTACATCTCTTCCTATACATAAAATCTTCATTATTTTAATAATTATGGGATATTTTACCACACAAACATGTGCTCTCTTTCTCTCTCTCTCTCTCTTATATAAAAATGCTATTGACTGAGTAAGCAACAAACCTGTACCCCTCACCGTTAAGGAGCCTGGGAAGTCCGTCCTACATCAGGGTACTGGCAGATCCAGTATCTGGTGAAGGCTCATTTCCTGGTTTGCAGACCAACAGTACCTGGCAGAACTCTTAGTATTTAACAAATAGTTGCCTCATTTTTTTAAAAATTGTCATTCTTTTATGTTAATTGAACATCTACTGATAATTTACACTTCTTCCACTGTGCTTTTCTTTGTGTAAATTGTTTATCCATTCTGTAGTGAGTTATTCTCTCTTAATGGACTTTCAAACCCTTCTATGATGTTTTTGAATTAAAAAAAAAATAAAGAAGCCAGGCACCAATGGCTTACAACTATAATCCTAGCTCCACAAGAGGCTGAGATCAGAGGATGGTGGTATAAAGCCAGGACAGGAAAGTTCAAGAAGACTCTTATCTCCAGTTAACCACCAAAAAGCTGGAAGTGAAGCTGTGGCTCAAGTGGTAGAGCACTAGCCTTGATTTAGGGCAAAAAAAAAAAAATCTCAAAGACAGAGCCAAGGCCCTGAGTTCAAGCCCCAGGATGGACACCAAAAAGAAAATAAAAATAAAGCCAAGAATGAACACTTCTTTGAAAACACAAAATATACATGTTCTGAGAACACTCATCCTGTTGGGGTGAAAGTCCAGGACCCAGTGCTACCAGTGGTCAGGTTTTGGAATGAAGTACACCCAAGGCACGTCTCTGGCTGACCTCCTGTAGGGGAGAAGCTCTACCAGTCAGACCAAGGATGGAAGAGGAGGTGGTTGGCTGTGCTGGGCAGGGCCGAGGATGGGGCAGGGTCATTCACCACCACCACTCCTCAGTGGCTTTGCTGGCATTGTTTATCCCCTTAGAATGTGTCTTTTCTTATTGCTGTATAATTCTGAGACAGCCTGAGATTGATTCAATAAATGATGAACAGTAGAGAGTAGAAAATTCATAGGATTCAAGGTAAAATTTGGGGCTGGGAATATGGCTTAGTGGTAGAGTGCTTGCCTAACATGCATGAAACCCTGGGTTCGATTCTTCAGTTCTGCATAAACAGAGAAAGCCAGAAGTGGTGCTGTGGCTCAAGTGCTCAAGTATGGTAGAGTGCTAGTCTTGAGCAAAAGAAGCTCAGAAGCACTGCCCAGGCTCTGAGTTCAAGCCCAGGACTGACAAAAAAATAAAATAAGATAAAGCAAAATTTGTTTATGGTTTTTGCTCGAAAGGAGGTTTTTATGATCTGTAAACTACAAGAGCCTTCTTGTGTCATTGGGGAATAAAATTTATGGTTTAATATAGAAGAATCCTAAGAGAAATTTAGAGATCCTGTAGGGATGATATAGAATACCAATATAGTATTTACTCGGAGATTGCTGAAAATCTGTGTATTCACTGTGGCCTAACACTGCTCATTGTTCTTACAGTTTCATTCCCTGGCACCCATGTACTATCGCGGATCTGCTGCAGCTGTCATAGTGTATGATATCACCAAACAGGTAAGGTGTCCCCCTTAGAACTCAGATGCTTTTGTGGAGATGGACTCAGAAAGATCGAAACAGACCCATCACTGCTTGATATTCATCAGTAGCCTGGAATAGCATCTCATGGGGCGGGGAGGGGGGGGAGGGAAGGAAGGCTACATACTGATGTGTTCACCCCTGTATAACCAAGTACCCATTATCTACTCTGTTAGGCAAGCAGCAGTGAGTATTCTTTTTTTTTTTAAGTGATTGTTTATGGAGACAAGGCTATGACTGTCACCGCTGTTCACTGATGGTTCACACCTACTCAGGATGCTGAGATCTGAGGATCACTGTTAGAAGTCAATCTGGCAGTAAAAACCATGAGATTCTTATCTCCAGTTGGCCACCCAAAGGAAAACAGCAAAAAACAAAACCTGAACTGGATCTGTGGCTCAATTGGTAGAGTGCCAGCCTTGAGCAAAAAGCTAAGGGACAGCATTTACTACCTACCAAGTTCAACCCCAGGACTGGCGCACACACACAAAAAAGGCCAAGGATAATATTTATATGTGTGAGTGTGTATATAGTTTTCCTTTTCATCTTTAATTTTACTCTCTATGGGTTTAGTTACTCAAGGTCAACTGCTATCCAAAAATATTAAATGGGGAATTCTGGAAGCAAACAAGTCATAATGCAATATTATAGTTACTCTATTTTGTTACTATTGTTCATTTTTACTGTACCTGACTTATAAATTTAACTTTTTTATAGGCATGTATACAAAGATAAAAGATAGTGTAGATAGGGCTGGGTTTCAGGAATCTACTGAGGAGCAACAGATGATCTCCCTTCAAATGAGGGGCTTGGTTATATGTAACAGAAATGTATTGTTAATTTTGTAGAAAGCCTCTAAAATATTCATAAAAAATAAATACAATGGCGTTGTGACATTTTACTGCATTCAGGCAAATTGAATTCCTTTTTTCCTGTGACAGTCCTGGGCACTATCCCTGAGTTTTTGTTCTCAAGGCTAATGATCTATCACTTGAGCTACAGCGCTACTTCCAGCTTTTTGATGGTTAATCAAAGATAAGATCTCACAGATTTTTCTGCTTGAAGTCTCTTTAAATGGTAATACTCAGATATCAGACTCCTGAGTAGCTAGGATTATAGGCAAAAGCCACCAGAGCCTGATGAACTATTTTGTTTTTCCTTGGAGAGATGACTCAGTGCTCATGACTGTTAGCTGAGTGAGCCATTGCTGATGCCGTCTACAAATCCTGCATGCCTCTCACTAGGGTGATACCCACCTTGGCCTCCGTCCTGGAAGGTGGCTGCAAGGGAAGGGCCAAAGAGGAAGATAGGATTCCAAACAGGTGCATTTCCTTTCTGACATAGGAATGCACATTGTGCATCCCCCTATCCTTGGAGACTCAAGGCTATGATTTTTTAAGTAATGTTGCTTGTAAAAGAGAATTACAAATGCAGTTTTTTTAATTTCATCTTTTTTTGTTATACACACACAGAGGGATTACAGTTATATGTCAGGTAATGAGTCCATTTCTTTTTGGACAATGTCCCCCCTTTCCTCACTCTCTCCTAATTTTTTCTTCCCACCCCTACCCACAAGTTGTATAGTTTATTTTCAACAAACTTCATCATATTTTAATTGTGAAATATTTCAAAACATTTTTGTAGCAGTACTAGGGTTTGAACTCAGGGCTTTTTACTTGCTAGGCAGGTATTTCATCACTAAGCCATGCCTTCAATCAGCATGAAGGATCTCATGCTTTTTTTTTTTTTTGGGTCCAGTCGTAGGGCCTGAATTCTGGGCCTGGGTGCTGTCCCTCAGCTCTTCACCTCAAGTCTTGCATTCTACCACTTGAACCACAGCGCCACTTCCGGCTTTTTTTCTTTTTGTTTATGTGGTGCTGAGGAATCGAACCCAGGGCCTCATGCATGCAAGGCAAGCGCTCTACCACTGAGCCACCTTCCCAGCCCTCTCATGCTTTTTTGTGTTGTTTGTTTGATTTTTGGACAAGGCCAGTCTGGACCTCAGTCAGCTTCCTGTCATAACTGTGATGAAGGCATGTGCCATTGCCCATGCAGCTTTCCCTTTGAGATGGGCAGCTCATAAACCTTTTTTGTTCAGTTTGGCCTAGAACTATGATCCTCCCGATCTTGGCCATCTATGTAGTTAGTTTCCCAAGCATAAGCCACCAGTGCCCAGCTCAGAAAAGGAATATTATACAGGCTAACTACAGCTTAGCTAAGATTAACTGCATTTCTCCTAGGGCATTTTTTGATTGTGTTTTCTCTTTTCTTTTCTGTCTAGGCCAGCCTGTACTGTGATTCCCCCTCTTTATGAGAATGCAGTTAGATCTGTGAAGGCTTGTATCACCATGCTCAGCCTTTTCTGTTATTTCTGTTAAAATAATTCCATATTTTTCTTCATTAAGTTATGTTTGTTGTTGTTGTTGATATTGGTTGTGGGGCTTGAACTCCAGGCCTGAATGCTGCCCCTGAGCTTTTCAGCTCAAGGCAAACACTCTACCACTTGAGCCATAGCACCACTTCTGGTTTTCTGGTGGTTTACTGGAGATAAGAGTCTCATGGACTTTTCTGCCCGAGCTGGCTTTGAACTGTGGTCCTCAGATCTCAGCCTCCTGAGTAGCTAGGATTATAGGCATGAGCCACCGGCACCTGGCTTAGATGGGGTTTGTATTTCTAGTTGGTTGAAGTATGATAAGACAACCATTTTAGTGATTCATTTTAACTTTTCATTTAGGATTCATTTCATACCTTGAAGAAATGGGTTAAAGAGCTGAAAGAACATGGTCCAGAAAACATTGTAATGGCTATTGCTGGTAACAAATGTGACCTCTCAGATATAAGGTAAGATTCATTTTTTTTGTGTGTGTGTAGTTTGTATCCTCCATTCCTGATTGCCTATGAACCTGTGCTATTATTTGTGCTGTCAGAGTAGTAAGTTGAGGACTCATCACTTGTGGTCAGTATGGTATTATTCAACTGGAGTGGGTTTAAGGGAAAAGAATACCTAGGCAGGTATTTCATCACTAAGCCATGCCTTCAATCAGCATGAAGGATCTCATGCTTTTTTTTTTTTTTTTTTTTTGCGTCAGTCGTAGGGCCTGAACTCTGGGCCTGGGTGCTGTCCCTCAGCTCTTCAGCTCCAGGCTAGCGCTCTACCACTTGAGCCACAGCGCCACATCCAGCTTTTTTCTTTTTGCTTATGTGGTGCTAAGGAATTAAACCCAGGGCCTCAGGCATGCAAGGCAAGCGCTCTACCACTGAGCCACCTCCCTAGCCCCAGCCTTCATTTCTTTTGTTTGTTTGGGGTTTTTTTGGGTCCGGTCGTGGGGCCTAACTCTGGGCCTGGGCACTGTCCCTCAGCTCTTCAGCTCAAGGGTAGCACTCTACCACTTGAGCCACAGCACCACTTCTGGCTTTTTTTTTCTCCTTATGTGGTGCTGAGGAATCGAACCCAGGGCCTTGAGCATGCAAGGCAAGTGCTCTACCACCTTCCCAGCCCTGCCCCCCCCCAATCTTCATTTCTTAGGAGGTTCACCAACTCAGCATCTTCACACTGAGCACCAAATTTCCAGCACATGATCCATAGGGACTCACTCACACCTTATCTAAATCATACCACATAGAGAGTGAATTAGAGTTTTGAAAACAGCTTTATCTAGCCTGTTAAGCTAGCTGCTTTATTAAAACAATACTATTTCAAAGGGATTTATAGTAGTCTTCCTTTATCTATGCAGTACATTTCAATATCCTAGTGGATATTGAAACCCACTGGATATTGAAACCCAGGCATCTCTGTGGATGCTTGAAACCACAAATAGTACTGAACCTAATATATACTGGGTTTTATCATGTATAAAGTTTAATTTATATGTTAGGCACAACAAAAGATTAATAACAACAACTAATAATAAAGTAGAAAAATTATAATCATACTTGAGAGTTATTCAAAGTTTATGAATTGTTTCTGGAATTTTCTTTATTTGTTCTCTCTCTCTTTCACTCTCCCCCTCTTTCTTTCTTTCTTTTCTTTTCTTTTTTTTTTTTTGTCTGTCGTGGGGGCCTGAACTCTTGGCCTGGGTGCTGTCCCTCAGCTCTTCATACCAAGGCTAGTGCGCTACCACTTGAGCCATAGCAGCACTTCCTCTTTTTCTGCTGATGTGGTGCTGAAGAATTAAACCCAAGGTCTCATGCATGCAAGCCAAGCACTTTACCACTGAGCCACCTTCCCGGCCCTCTTCTTTGTTTTTTGTGCTTGTATTGGGACTTGAACTAAGGACCTTCTTCTATCCTTTAGTTTTTCATTCGAGGCTGACACTCTACAACTTTAAGCCACAGCTCTACTTCTGGATTTTTCATGGTTAATTGTAGATAAGATTCTCATAGGACTTTCTGCTCAGGCTGTCTTCAAACTACAATCCTCAAATCTCAGCCTCCTGAGTAGCCAGGATTATAAGCGTGAGCCCCAAAGACCCAGCTTCTGGAATTTGCCATTTGTTATTTTTGGACCCTGTTGACTCTGACTAACTAAAGCTATAGAAAATGAACCATTAAAGTCTACTGTGGCAAGTTTATGTAGTCTCCATTCACTTTGCTGATTTAATTATCAATAGTTCTAGTTGTTGATTTTCATGAAGACAATTACTCTGTGCTTCCCATTTTCCTAATCCAAATATAATTAAGCCAGTTAATAATAAGCCAGTTAACTAAGCAATGAAAATGGATCTTTCAGATGTTCTTATGACACTTGACAAATGGCTCTGTTCCTTTGAGATTACAAAAGGTTTATGTTGCATTACATCACAGTGGTTTATAATAACAGCTATAAACCACTTAATCACTTGTTTTTTTCTTCTTCTTCTGGGTTTTGGACAAATCTTTAAACTTCCTAGATTTGGTTCATGTATCTGCCTTCTTCTACTATAATCCTAAAACCACTTGCTTGGATAGAGTTCCCTGCCCTGAAAGCCAGAGCGGGGACAGCGAGGCTTTGCTGAGCAAGGCAGTATCATCTAACATCACCTCACTGCGGTAAAGAGAAACTTAGAGTGGAGACAGCCTTGTATGTGGGAATGCAGATGGGTAAAATTAAAGCAGAAAAGGATGTTGAGTTAAATAATATTAAATAATACTCTTCATTACTTGGAAACAAAACCTAAATGAAATTAATTTTATTTTAATTTTTTCTCTGCTTTTCCTATTTTGTTTTTTCTTTTTGTTATTATAAAGGTGGTGTACAGAAGGGTTACAGTTACATAACTCAAGTAAAGAATAATTCCTTTTGGACAATGTTACTCCTTCCCTCACTCTCTCCCAGTTTTTCCCTCCCATCACAAGTTGTATAGTTCATTTTCAGCATAATGTCCAATGAGTACCATTGCTGCATTTGTTTACTTCCTCTGCCTCCCCTTATACTCCCAAAGACATATAAATAAATAGGAAAAAAAGAAAAGAAAAAAAGAAAAAGAAAAAAGAACCTCGTTTCTTTTTCCTGGAGTTAATTTTGATAAATATTATTTTGTATGATCAGATGCACATAAGCATTGTGCCTTTCTGTTCCTCTTCCAAGAGTATCTTCTTTTGGTTTCACTGTATGTGAATGCCTAGAGACCTGTATAATTTATTATGCCCTGGGTATTTTAGATCTAGTTTCCATGTATGAGAGAAAATATGAACCATTTGTCTCTCTGAATTTGGTTTACCTCTAGGTCCATCCATTTCACTGCAAATGACATAATATTATTCTTTCTAATGGCTGTGTAAAATTCCCATTTTTATTTTAACAAGGATGATTTTGCTAGTTGTCATGGCTCATGCTTGTAATCCTACTCAGGACACTGAGATCTCATGATCTCAATTTGAAGCCAGCTTAAACAGAAAGTCTGTGCGATGCTATTTTTTTTTCTTTTTTCTTTTTTCCTGGTTCTAGGGTTTGAACTCAGGGTCTGGGTGCTGTGCCTGAGCTTTTCACTCAAGGCTAGCCCTTTACCACTTCGAGCCACTGTGCCACTTCCAATTTTCTGCTGGCTAATTGGAGATAAAAGTTACTTGGAGATAAAGTTTCCAACACAGGCTGGATTCAAACTATGATCCTCAGATGTCAGCCTTCTGAGTAGCTAAGATTACAGGTATGAGCCACTAGTGGCTGGCATTCTTATCTTTAATTAACCAGCAAAAACTAGGAGGATGGGCTTTATTGAAAGGTAGCCACATGATAAAAAGACAAATAACAGGGAAACCAATAGCATCTGGAGAGATAACGGCTTGGCATTTACTGTTTTAAATCTTACAATGCTATGGAAGGAGTTCCCAAAGTCCAATAAAGGGGACCTGGCATTTCCCACTATCACCGTGGGAATGGGAAAGTGGGAGCCTTAAAAAGTTACAACTCTTGGGCTGGGGAGGTGGTTCAGTGGTAGCGCGCTTGCCTTGCATGCATGAGGCCCTGGGTTCGATTCCTCAGCACCACATAAGCAAAAAGAAAAAAGCCGGAAGTGGCGCTGTGGCTCAAGTGGAGCGCTAGCCTTGAGCTGAAGGGATGAGGAACAGCGTCCAGGCCCAGAGTTCAGGCCTCACGACCGGATCTCCCCCCCACCCCCCTCCAAAAAAAAAAAGAAAAGTTACAACTCTTAGATGAATGGAGCCTCTACTCAAAACATGCCTGAGATGTGCTGCTTTGCCTTTGAACATACCACTTCCTGGGTGGAAGTCACCCAGACATACTGGAACCATGTTCCCCTCTGCAGGCATTCTGAACTACACACAGCTTATCTTATGTATGTGGTTTGCAAGATGCTCTGACAACCATAACCCATCCATCTCCCTTTCAACTAAAATTCATTCTCAATTTCTTCATCTCCATGGGTGATAATTCAAGGCCCTCTACTAGCTGCCACTAATGGTGCCTTCAGGGCCACTCTCAGGAGTCCAGGCTCTGGGCATTTTCCTTTTTTCTAGTTGAGACTCAGTGAGGTCTGAATGTAGCTTTACAAAATCTCACAATTGTATGTGAAGTGTACAACTTGTATCTTCTGTTACACATAAAAGTAATCTAGATTAGACTTAGTTTTTAATTAGGCAACAAAAAAATGACTCTTCAAACCTCTGAATTCGTTAGTGAGAAAGCCTAGAATGATGTTTAGTTTTAGACTGCTAAGCAGTCAGCCACACTTTCAGCCTATTTTTTGCAAGACAGGGTCTTGCCCTTTGCTTAGGCCTACACCTGAACTGTAATCCTATTTCTAACAATAGCATGCTGTTTTACAAAGCACGCTATTCTGTAAGGCACCTTAAAATCTGAATTAAGAGTAACCCTGAGGTAGATTAGTTTTAGCACTAATGGAACCTCAGATTCCAGACAGAGCTATACAGACTACAATCAAGAACAAGGGGAAGTCTGGGCACATGTGGCTCATACCTGTAAACCCAGCTATTCAAGAGGCTGAGATGTGAATGTCATGGTTCACAGCTAGCTTGGGCAGAAGAGTCTTGTGAGACTCTGATCTCAAATTAACCAATAGTAAACCAAAGTGAAGGTGTGGCTCAATCCTCAGAGCATCAGCCTTGGCAAAAAAGCCAGGCAAGGGGCTGGGAAGGTGGATCAGTGGTAGAGTGCTTGCCTCTCAAGCATGAGGCCCCAGGTTCGATTCCTCAGCACCCCATAAACAAAAAAAGCTGGAAGTGGTGCTGTGGCTCAAGTGGTAGAGTGCTAGCCTTGAGCAACAGAAGCTTAGAGACAGTGCCTAGGCCCTTAGTTCAAGCCCCAGGACTGGCAAAAAAAAAAAAAAGCCAAGCAAGAATGTAAAACCCCAAGTTAAAGCCCCAGTACCAGCCCAACAAAAGTG